TTAACTACCTGGAATTGTGCTGCTATCAACATGAGCAAGCATGTATCACTGACTATAGTATGCTGTCTTTAGTCCTTTGGGGAATATTCTCAGAAGCTGGAACAGTTGGGTTAAATGGTCGTTCTGCTTTCAGTTTTTGCAGACCCTCCATACTGATTCCCATAGTGATTGTCCTAGTTTACATTGCCACCAGCAGTGCAGGGTATACCCTTCCCCATCCTTGCCAGTGTTTATTGTTTTCTGTGTTCTTGACGATAGTAATTCTGACTGAAGTGAGAAGGGATTTCAGAATATTTTTAAATTGCATTCCCCTAATGGTTAAAGACATTGAACATTTTTTTTTCTTGCATTTATTGGACATTTGTTCTTTTGAGAAATAGCCATTCAGTTCACTTGTCCATCTTTTGATTGGACTGTGTTGGAGGGTGTGCTGTTGGAGTTCAGGAGGGCATGCCTGTGCCTGTGGCTTCAAGGGTTTCTTCTAGTTTCTTCTAGCAGTTTCAGGGTTTCTGCTTTTATACCTAGTCACTGATCTGTTCTGATTTGATTTTAGTACAGGGTGAGAGGAATCTAGTTTTAATCTTCTATGTGTCGATAGCCAGTTTTGTCTGCACCAATTGGTAAAAGGCTGTCCTTTTTCTCGCATTTGATTTTTGGCCCCTTTGTCTCAGAACTCACCTGGCTGTATGTGGGCTCATTTCTGTGTCCTTTGTTCTGTTCCACTGATGTACACGTCTGTTATGATGGCTTTGAGTATAACTTGAAATGCAACATTGTTCTGATTCTGCATGGATTTTAGGATTTGTTGCTGCTGCTGCTATTCCATAAAGGATGTTGTTGATACTTTAATAGAGATCACACTGAATCTGTAGAATTCTTTTGGTAATATGGTTAGCCAAACCATGAACAAGGAAGATCTTTTCATTTTCTAATGTGTTCTTCGATTTCTTCAGTTTCTATAATGTTCGTTCTAGAAGACATTCATCTCCTTGCCTAGGTTGATTGATAGGTATGTATTTTATTGATGCTGCTGTGAATGGGATTGTTTTTCCTGACTTCTTTCTTTGTGGGTCCCTTAGCAGCATGGCAAACCTATGCCACAGCAGGGTGTTTGTGTCATTGGACGCTCTAAACGGTCACCATCATTGGTATGGGGGAAACTGCTGATTTTTGTATCCTTTTGCTTTGCTACATTTGCTTATCAGATCCAAAGTCTTGTGAGGGAGTTTTCTGGAGTCTTTTATGTAAAGAATTATTGTCTGCACATAGGGATAATTGACTTCTTCCTTTCCTAATTGCATCTTTCTTTCTTTATCCTGCTTAGTTGCTGTGGCTATAACTTCAAGTCCGTAGTGAATAGAAATGGTAAAAGTGCGCACCCTTGTCTCATTTCTGATCACAGAAGCAGTGCTTTCCGTTTTTCCTATTTAGTATGATATTGATGTGGGTTTGTCATACATGGCTTTTATCAATTTGAAGAAAGATCCTTTAGTACTTACTTTCCTCAGTTTTTGTTTTTTTTTTATCATGAAGGAATCTTGGGTTTACTGTTATTTCTGCATCTATTAAGGTGATAATGTGATTTTTCTCCTTGATTCTAGTTGTGTGGTATATTACATTTATTGATATGTATATGTGGAATCATCCTTGCAACATTCCTGGATGAAACCTACTTGGTCATAGTATATGATCTTTTCAGTGTTTGCAAGAACCACCTCCCTCCCTTTTTTTGTACTGGGGATCAAACCTAGAGCCTTTGAACTAATTTACATCCCCAGCCCCTTTTTCTATTTTTTAAGACAGGGTTACACTAATTTGCAGAGTTGCCCAGGTTGGGCTCAGACTTGTATGCTTCAAATTTCTGCCTCAGCCGCCAAGGGTGTCAGGTTACAGGTGTGTACCATCAGGCCCAGTTCGCAAGACCTATTGAGGATTTTTGGATCCGTGTTCATCAAGAAATACCGGTCTATAGTTTTCATTTTTCATTGTCTTTAACCATATTTGGTATCAGGGTAACGCTACCTTCATGGCGTGAATTTGGAAGTGTCCTTCATTTTCAATTACATGGAGAAGTTTGAGGACCTTGGTGTTAGTTCTTCTCTAAAAGTCTGGTAAAATCCAGCAGTAAATTAATTGGTCCTGGGCTTTTCATAGGCCACAGGTTTTTATTGCTGCATTAGTCTCTTTGCTAGTTACCAATCTGTTTAGATATTTTATGTGCTCTGTGGTTCAATTTTGGTAGGTCATATATGTCTAGGAATTTATCTGTTTCTTTTGGAGTCTCTGACTCATTGCAGTTTAAGTTTCAAAATTTCTGATCTGGATTTCGGTGCTGTCTATTATAATTTGCTTTTCACATCTTGAGGGTTTTTTGTCTTTTGTCTTAATTTTGTATTTGACAAGCTATCGTTTTTTGGATTTTTGTTTTGCCCTTTATTGCTTAAGGAAAATACATTCCATCTTGAAGCAAACAGGAATAGTTTAGAGTCTTACTTTCTTATATTCATAGTCCTCTGGAGCTAGAAACCAAATATTTAATTGAGTAGGTTGATCAGGGAAGCATGTTGAATGCTTCCCTGTTCCAGTTGGTGAATGCTTAATGATTGGTGAGAAGTATTTTTCAGGGTTACTTAGTGCCACATACCCTGATAGTAAACTGCTTTGGGTTTATAGAAGAAACAACCTGTTATTCTGCCTTCATCCTAGGGTAACACTGAGCCGCCGGTCCCAACCAGCAAGATTGGACTGGGCAGGAGAGAGTATCAGAGCTTACAGCACCGCCATCATTCTCAGCGCTCTAAGTGCCGACCCCCAAAGGGCATGTACCTGACCCAGGAAGATGTGGTTGCAGTTTCCTGTAGTCCTAATGCGGCCAACACCATCCTGAGGCAACTGGACATGGAGCTGATCTCGCTAAAACGCCAGGTATTTTTTATAAAAATAATACATTTAACAATTCTGTCCATTTTGCTCGCCCACTTTTCGCCCCGGGGAACTCTGTTGTTCACAGGTTTTTCTTAGCCATCCAACTGAATCCTTGTATTGCTAACTGAGCGCTATAATCTTGGCCAAATTATAGCACCTTGCCAAGTGTTACTTCACTGTCTGAAATAAGAAATAATAATTAGACTTCTCTTACAGACTGTTGGGAAGTATGTGCAATGACATATGTACATTGTTCAAGTGTTTGGCATAGCTTGAATGCTCAGTGAGTAAGAACTATTGTCTTCATTATCATCAGTAGTAGTAGTGATAGTCTTGAAAGAATATTGTCGTGATCCAGCAGAGGAGTCAGGACTCAGAGTCTGTGAGCCCTGAAGTTCTAATTTGGCTACCGTATCTCCTACTTACACGAGCTTAGAGAGCTGTTTAACTTCTCAGCCTCAGTTACCTGGAAGTGAGAATTAAAACGTGGTTGTTGTGACCCAAGCTACTCAGGAGGCAAAGGCAGGAGGATCCCAAGTTTGAGGCCTGAGCAATTTAAGGAGACCCTTTCATAATTTAAAATATACATACATTTTAAAGGGCTGGGAGTGTAGCTCAGTGGTAGAACACACGAGTCTCTGAGTTCAAAATAAACTGCAAAAAATAAAGTAAGGTGGTCAGAAGGAATTAAATAAGATAATACACTGATAAGTACTTAAACAGTTCCCAACAGCAAGTTCTGGGTGAGTAGTTATGTGTCCTCTGGCCTGTCTGAATCTTCTTTTCCTGTTTTTGTGTGTCTTCTTTGTTGTTTTTTCTCTCCTTAGATCTAGTTGCTCTCTAAGTCAGCCAGCCCTGCACCATGTGCTGCTGACCTTTGAGCCTGTTTTTTCAAGCTGTGACTTTCCTTCCAAGATCACCAGCTGTAGTTCCAGCTGCTTCAAGACCTTCCTCAGAAAAATTGTCTCTGCCTCTGTTTCCTTTCACTGAAGACATCAGAATCTTATTGTTCATCCTCATTCATCCTTGCTGTTACCCTCTCCTTGCATATATAAACCCAGGAATTAATCCATTTATGTTTTATCTCTGAAATCACCTTTAAAGCAAATTTTTGTTTGCTTGGTTTGTGGTTTTTTTGTTTGTTTTTGGTTTTTGAGACAGGCGTTTCCGCTGTAGTCCAGGTCCCCCTTAAACTCTCTATGGCTCAGTCTAGTCTGAAACTCGAGATCATCCTGCCTCAGCCTCCATAGTGCTGAGATTACAGGCGTGCGCCACCACATCTGGGCTTACTCCCCTCGTCTCCACCCATCACTACCAGCCTTGTTTCAGGTCTGACCTCATGGCAGACGCTCTGTCTTGCTCATTTTCTGTCTGCATCTCTTCAGCCCCAGGCAGCAGTCCCTAGGCTGGCGTTTTGCAGTGTTGGCTGATGAAGTTCTCTCATCAGCCTGCACACCTCTAACAGCTTACAGAGGAGGATGGAGGAAATTCGAAATTCAGCCTGAATTAGAAATGCTGAAAGGCAAGCGGGTGTGTTGTGGTTCATGTCATACTCACATTTTCAGCTTTTCCTTCTGCGACGCGTCCCAAGTGTATCACTTTGTGTTTAGAAAACTTGATCTTAGGAAAATGGATATGTTTCGTTCTCGTTTTCATGTGATGCAACTAAGAAATTTGATCTTTTGTATAAAACTACTGAACAGTTTGAAGGACATGTGTGATCTCACTGATAAAATAGGCAGTTCTGTTTTCACTTCATTTTTCATGTAAAAGATAAGGTCTTTGCAGTTATATAGTATGGGACCGCACTTCTCTATCTTACTGAAACGTGTTCAGACTTCTCTATCCCTTGGCCCTGGTTTACATCCAGACTGGTCGTTTCTCTCTCCTTCTGTAGCAACTTCCTGAATAAATATGGGCACCAGCTTCTTCTGCTTTCTTGCCACCACTTATTCTTGGAATCTTTTGAGTCTGGTTTCTGCCCATACCCCATTGCAGTTACGCCACTGAAGAAACTTCTCCTGAGGTCATCTATGAGCTGGACCTGGTGGTGCCCACCCATAATCCCAGCACTCTAGGAGGCTGAGGCAGGAGGACTGCAAGTTTGAGGCCAGCCTGGGCAATTTAACAAGACTCCCCAAAAAATCCTATGACTAATTTATCAGGTCTAGTGTCTCTTTCTTGGTTTTCTCTCCCTTGGCTACTCTAATGTTTGCCACGCTAGCTTCCTGGAATTCCTTTCTCTGGATTTCTGAGAGCCTGGCCTCTCTTGGGCGGACACATATTGCAGGGGATTGAGTGCTTAGCCTCGAGTCAGACGCCCGTCTTCTCAAACAGCACTCCTCTAAGAAAACTTCTAAAATACTTTCCCTGTAGTATTTTGAAAGTTCTCAAATGAAGGAATAAAATGTGCTCTGTCCCCTGTATTCCTGCTGCATATTTAGCACTACCTTTTACTGCCTTGTAAAAGGAACTTTATTTTAAGCTTTAATCTTTTTCCCAGTTGTTCTTTTGACAGTGTCACATGGTAAAGCTTGGGCTTTGGGTTTGTCTCGGATACAGATGCGCACACAGTGCTTTGCCTGCTTCCGCTTGCTTTTGTTCCCTGTTTCAGTGAGCAGTGCCACTACACTCAGCTGCTCAGCTGACCAGCTGTGCTTGGTTCCTCCTCACCTCCACAGGGAGGTGTTCACAGGGAGGTCTTAGCTCTGTTTTCAGATTGTCTCTTCACCTGAGCTCTGTGTACTGCCATTCTTCCGTCTCTGCTGTTTTAATGGATGTTTTCTTAATTATTTAACATTTTCCACCTGGACTGTTAAATTAATCCATCCCTTATCATCCCATTCTGTTCTTACTACTGGAAGTATCTTTTAATTTTAGGGAAATGTCATGTTGTTCACTTGCTTAGAAATACTTCGTTTCCTTCAGTCATTAGGCAAAATCCAAATTTTGTGGTCTGGCCCCAGCCTAACTTTACAGCCATAGGGTGTTGCTCTCTTCCTACATGGTTTTCTTCCTGGAGCGCCTGCCTTCTTCACGGCCTATCTGGCCTGCTTGATTCTTGTCAGTCCTGCCTGGTTAGGGTCAGCTTCTATAAAACCGTCTCCCTAGACCTCCCTGTCACCCGCCCAGCCGCACACACACACCAGCAAACTCAGTTTTCCTCATTTTCTGTCCCTGTCCCTGATGATGTTAGATGTTTCAGCATTTATCATATTTTATATTCGTTTATCTTTGCTTTATCCTGTGAGATCCTTGAAAGACTATGCTTTATTGAACCGTCCAACATTTTTGCTTTCTTTTCAGGATCTCTGTTGAAAAAAATTCATAAATCACTTCAGCAATATTTGTGGGGGTGGTGTCCATGAAGAAAAAACCCTCACCTTTAATTTCTGAGTAGAAATGATAGTGGTGCTTCCAGAATAGTAGTTTAAGTACACATGTGGTGTAGTGTAAATGCAGATTGTTCCTTCTACATCTGTGGCTTTGGGAAGTCTCAACTTCACTGCCTCATATTCTTAATCTAAATGGTTAGAATAGAAGTATACTCAGTTCTGCTCTAACTTGTTTTAAAAACATAAATTTATTCCAGTGCAGTTGATGTAGCAGGTATCAGTTTGATCATAGTGTGAGTTTTGTGTTTGCTTAAGCATGATCTCTCTGGTCAGTGAAAAACTACGTAATTCAGATTTGCACCGGCTCCCTGAATTCACTGTGTCATGAACCACATACATCTGATCTTAAAACTTTGATCTCCTGTAAAATAACCATCTTACCCCTTTACACTAATAACTCACAAGCCGTGGCCATTTGGATGCTCACTTCTGCAACTAACCTTCAAGTCTTTTCCAAGGTAAAGTAATACCTTGTAGTACTTGTGGGTTTGTTTCCTTCCCTCCCTCTGTCCCTCCCTTCCTCCTCTTCATTTTCCCTCCCTCCCTCCCTCTCTCCTTTCTTTCTCCCTCTCTTCCTTCCTCGCTCCCTTCTTCGCTTCCTGTCTGCCCATCTCCCTCTTTCCTGCCTCCCTTTCTTCACTGGGGATGAAATCCAGGGCCTGCACATACTAGGAAAATGCTCTGTCCCTGAGCTATATCCCCAGCCCCACATTTTTTATTTTTGTAACCAATTATAATGTACAAAACTCTTCCCTTGTTTTTCTTAGGTTTCTTTCTTTTCTTGTCATTGGTAAAGGTTTTGAGTGTTGTATCCCAACTTCCTTGTCTCTGTAAAACCTGTGGTTTTTGTTGTGCATTTTGCATAGTACAGTGACTTTTTAAGAATACATATGTTGTGTTAAAGTAGAGCTGATTGTACGTACCTCACAGGAAGTTGTGAGAATTACTGTGATTTATTACGTATAAACTACCAAGAATGAGATTTTATACATAATAGATATGTAATAAATGTTACCCATCATCATTCTTCTTATAGGAATAATTGTTACTTGGTCAGAACATTGTGGTAACAAGAAATGTGGGTGGAATTGAGTTGGTATCTGTGTCAGTTGCCTTTGGTCATAAAGATACTGATAAAATATTTTTAAATACTGACTTATAATATTAAAAGTCAAATTAAGGTTCTACTAAATGTGTATATTAGTTGATATGTATGTTTGTTGAATGGGTAGTCTGTCACACCCCAGGTGTGATAAGTATGTCTATTCTTCTGAAATAAAATTTAAGGGAGTTTCAGTGTATATCCTTTTGTTTTGTGTGAATACTCAAAAATTTACCTCTCACATTGTCTGATTCATATTTTGGCATATTTTGTTGAAGGTTCAGAATGCTAAGCAAGTAAACAGTGCACTTAAACAGAAAATGGAAGGCGGAATCGAAGAGTTCAAACCTCCTGAGGTATGATACTGAAAAGTGAATGTGGTTACGTAGACTTCTTCCTGAGTTACCCATTGTTCATGTGCTATTGGTCACAGGTACTGTTAGTATTTTGAAGGTTTCTCAATGTTAATAATTTGTTAGATAAATCTCTTCTCCTTTTGACTGTAGATATTTTGAGGTTTGGCTAATCCTTTTGTATGTGTTAAATTATTTCTTCCTGCCATTAGCAATTTGTATCAGGCGAAGTACTCAGGGAAAGAGCTGTAGGAGCAGGCCCTGTGAGTATGACAGGCAGGTCACTGAGGAGGTGAAGACACCGCTGGGTCTGCAGCATGGCTTCCTCAAAGCCCCTTATTACCTGAATAAATGGGTGACGTGAGAAGTGGAGTTCATTTCAACACATTATATTATAATTTAAGACATTTATATGGATTTATATTCTTGTACCTGTATCCCTGAAAATATAAAAACCTGAAACAAGATACAGATTAACCCTTTTCTTAAGCAGACACCTAAATATGTTTTTGCAATATATAGTCATTGAAAGTACTGGAAGCTATCTTGATCCAGTGTTCCCAGAAGTTTCTACTATGAAGTCTTTTAAGACTACTGTGTCATGCTTCCTACCCTGGATTTGCATGTCTTTGTATGTAATAATCTCACTTGGTCCTAATGGGACATTTTCCCCCTCCAAATCCCAGGCTGACTGAAATATCTGCAGGTGAAGTACATGTGAGGCTCTGGGGAGAGGCAAGAGTAGCGCTTCAGAAATCGTGCGTTCTGTGCCAGCTAATCACTGGTCACTCTGAGAAAGGAGGACTTGCACAAGGGAGCTTTTGTTTGTTTTGAATAATCTCTTTCAAGAAGGTTAGGTTGTGGAAAAGAATGAAAAGTTCAGAGATCAATAAACTCAATCCAAGCCCACAGGTAAACTGACAAACACTGAATCAAGTGGCATGTTTTTATTTAAGGTCAGTGCAATACAAAATACTATTCTATTTTGCTATATTGCAACACAAATTACTTTAAACTTCATATTTAAATTATTTTAATCTTGTATTTACACATTTAAATATATAATGCAGAAAATGTAAAATGTCTGTAATTCATAATTTAAATGTTAAATAAAATAGAGCAGGTACTAAGAACCTAGGAATACCAGAAAAAACTTTATGCTAATAAATCTGAAAATATAAACAGAATATGCAGCTTCCTAGGAAAATATCTTAGCAAAATTGCCTGAAAAAGAAAAAGCTAAATAATTTATAATCACTAAATAAAATGAAGAAACAATTAACATTTTTCTTTCACAATAAAACACCAGGCTCAGATAATTTTACAGAAAGGACCTATCACATTTTCAAGGAATAGTCTCATCTCCAGTTTTTCATAAAATCATGGAACAGTCTAGCTATTTGCATTATCTAAAGATGAATTACATAGCATTGTATCTTACTTTATGCTATCTCTTCGATCTTTACATAAATCCATACTAGTAGGTAAAGCAGATACTGTTATTTTATATGATGAAAAGTGAGGCTCAGGTTACCTTACCCAAGGTCACAAAAGAGTAATCAGGAACTCTGGCTGTATTTCAGTTTTGGAGTTATTAGTTCTAGATTAACATATATTATGCTGTCACGTGCTTTTGGAAGTTCTCATAGGATTGCCAGGGATTTAGTTCAGTGGCACCTGGCTTGCCTTGTAAACGCAAGGTCCTGAGATGATCCCCAGTACCTAAAAAAAAGAAATTCTCAAAGAATAACAGAATTGTGTAGTATCACATTTTGATGCAGTTATCGTGTTGGAAGTGATCGAATATTTATTATGTCTTTTGACTTGTTATAAAAATAATGATCAAAGTAGAAGTCACCAAAATCTTGACACTATCATGCAAACATTGAAGTTTGAATATTGTTTTAGGGTGACTCATTGAAGTCGTGACTTAGGGAAAAATTATTTATGTACACACACATTTTGTCAGCTAGAAAGTTCTGTTCATCGTGCACGTTATTCCCGTTGTCTTCAGGGTGGCAGTTTGAATGTTTTTTATATTTCCAAGTACTGGATTCATAATCACAGTAATACCTTTGAAAATCATGTTATCTATTCACTCACCTTTAGGTTAGACTTTACCAAGAATGTTTATAATCTCTAAAATAATTGCAGTAGATCATTTTTTTAAAGTACCTTGCAATTACTAATGTGTTTGACTTACTAAATTTGTTTTACCATTTTCATTTACGGAAAGATTGAGTGGGAAAAGTTTGTTCACGTCCGCAAGTGTTTATTGATCTCCTGTTGCCCGGGGGCAGTGTTAGGTGCCATAGGAAGTGTGCATGGGGAAGGGAGAACGCATAGAGATGAAGACAAGATGAGCTGATTTCTCCACCCGTTGTTCTGTTTTGTTTTTTTGGTACCGGGGATCAAACTCAGTCCTTGTGCTTGCAAGGCAGGCAGTGGCACCACTGAGCTAAATCTCCATCCTCTTTTAAAGGAAGAGCTTACGGGGATTGAACTCAGTGGTTGCCGCTGCCTGCCTCACAAGCATAAGTACCCAAGTTCAATCCCTGGTACAAAAAAAAATAAATAAAAATAAAGGAAGAACTTACAATCTGGACTTTAGAAGACAAACTACCAAAATTATGTGGTAGATTTATAAGCAAAATGCTACAAGGAGCAGTGGGTCATTGTTCATTCTGGCTGGGGTAATTAGAGAAGACTTCCTAGAGGGTATTTCAGCTGAGCTTTGAAGGAGAAATGAGAGTTTCACACAAGTTAAGCCAGAGAAGAACATCCCAGGCAAAGAATAATGCAAGCAGTGATGTAGTGTCGCATATTATATTCAAAATAAAATTAAAAACACTGTCCCAAACCAAGCAGCAAGTATACCCTGAGCACTTACTCTGTGCTTATTATTGCGCTAATTACTGTGGAAGTGTAAAACAGCCTTTTCTCAAGAACTGTCTCATCACCTGGCTTGGTGGCACATGGCACATGCCTGTAAAATCAATACAGTAGGAGGTTGAGACAGGACGATCACAACTTTGAGCCTAACCCAGGCAGTTTGGCAGCTTGGAGAGACTGTCTCCAAGCGGGTGTGGGGCTAGAGACGTAGCTCAGGGCCGGGGTGCCCTGGGTGCGATCCTCAGTCCTGCAGGGACTGGGTCGGGAAGGAGAGAGAATATCACATTATCTAATTAGGAAGGTGAACTTGAATGCGAGGAGAATGGATGGCGAGAGAGATTGTCACCAGAGTGCACAGGTGCCTCTGTGACAGAGGAGTGGGCAGAGGCCGCTAACAGTCCTTGTGGGAGCTGGAGAGAGATGGTGACTTCTGCGTCAAACGGAAGAGGCCTGCAGCTTCTTCAGTGTAGGACAGGTGTAATGCGAAGTGTGTGGGGCATGTGACAGGACAAGGATCCTGAATGGCTGCTGAAACACTGAGCAGGAAATGAGCAGTGCTGAGGGAGCGTGGGTAGGGCTGGATCCTAGTTGTAGCAGTGGAAACAAGTGAAAAATCCAAAAGAACATTCAAAGCAGGAAAGTAATGTGTGTTCTTAAGAATATATGAGCATGGTGGGGTAGAGGTGGCACGTTTTGTTACGCTTTTGATTTGTTTTGGATGGAGGTAAGTAGGTAGAGCAAGGAGGTAAATAAATCCCGAAAATGAGAATAATTACAGCTGGAAAAGGAGTGCTTTTGAAGCAAGAAATTTCCCATCTAGAGGTGTTTTCATGCATGACATCTTTCTGTTAGGATGTTGGGTGGGATTTGCAGCCCTGGAGAGAAGGTTTAGCGTGCTGGCCTTTTCTAGCTCTTCTGACTCAGATCGTATGCGTCTACCACTGACACCACAGACATACGTGAAGTCAAGTGGAGTTAACAGAGAAGATTGGTAAAAAGGCTGAATTCGCTATAGCAGGTTATATCATGTAGTTATATTACTATTATACTGGATTGTTTCGTTTTATGTTACTATTTTTTAAACAGCAGTTCAGACCACGGTTTGCTTTAGGTAAGGATATACTTTGTATACCACCTAGCTAGCTACAACTACCACACAGTTTTGGCTTCCTAGATCTATTGTAATCACTTTTTAAAAATAAAATCTCCACCAAAGTTTGGTGTGTTAAAAGAGAATTTAAAAACCAATACATGACAGGAAGAGTACAATTTTGACCCTAAGTTGTCTTGGGTCTTGTCCTCCCTCCGCTGTCCTCATCCTGTCACAGAAGACTCACGGAAGAGCTTCGCTCTTTCTCCTGCATTTTCCCATTCAGAGCTGCAGCTAAATCTTGGCATCGTCATGAACAGCCACATTCTACAACTCGTGATCCCCTGTGTCTTTTTCTGAGCCCTCATTTTAGACAACTGCTCCCCTCTGTAACTTTTGAGAGGTTTGGGTCTCTTAATCAGTTTTAGTTTCTGCATGTCTCCTGTGTATTTCTTTAAACTGAGGGAAATTCTAGTTTTTAAATATACATAAGATAAACGTTTTATACAACACTGCCCTGAATTCAAGTCAACAGCTTCTTGTGGTGCTCAGTGTCCATTCTGGTGTTGGGAGAAGCCCTGGCTGTGGGTGTTTGAGATAACTGCCTATCCTTGGCCACATTTGTAAGGATGTTTCAAGAGGAAGTTTGACACAGAAAACTTTAAAAAGCTTTGTAGTTCAGTTTTGGAACCTTATGTCTGAGTAAGGTATTACTACATTATTTTTCCTTGTAAAAATTTTCCAGACTCTTCAAAAACGTGTTTGAATAAGTGAGTCTCTTTCAGCCTCAGGTAAAATTGCTCTCTGCCAGAACATTCGAATGCCTCATTCTCTACCCCATATTAGTCTTAGCCTCTCCTTTCCACATCTCTCATCCGCATTTCTTAACTTTTAGGGTCTTAACAGCAGCACCTCCATCCCAGTCGTCCAGGTCCAAGGTTTTTATTGTGGTTAAAATCATGCCCCTTTCACACGCACTCCTTTACCTTTCCAAAGTAACAAAGCAAAGCAGAAGAAACCTTTTGCTTGTTAAATTTACTGAGCTTATCAGCCTTGGTTTTTACTGCCTTTCCTGTGATCCTGGTTCTGGTCATACTGTGAACAGCACCAGTTTTCCAGGCTTACCCATCACTTCTCCGGACACACATCTTGCTCTTCCTTGCACACGGATGCCTTTTCTTTGACTTTCAGAAACTTCTGAAGATTCTTAATCTCCAGCTGTGCACCAGTTTTTCCCTTGTTCTCCCCCGTAAGCACACACTAATTATTGTGACTTTATATTCCCATTATATTCTGTACTTTTAATTCTTATAAATGATTACTAGTGTTCAGTCTCCTGGTGTTTTCATAGGTTTTATGAAGTTTAGATGAAAATAATTTTTTATAGTATACATTATTTCTCTTTAATTAGTTTGTTCTTTTTTTCATGCTGTATTTCCTTCTAGTTTCTACCTTGGAGATTGGCTCAGGCACTACTGGATCTTTCTTTCATATATTCTGAATATATCCTCCTATTTTTGGTAAATTTCTCCTCACAGCAGGTTGTGTGTACAGTGTCTACATTCTCATTAATCTAAAGAATACATGGAGGGCCAGGGATTTAGCTCAGCAGTTCGGTGGCCTGCCTTGCAAGCGCAAGGACCCGAGTTCAATCCCCGGTACCAAAAAAAATTTAAAAATTAAAAAAAAATAAAGAATACGTGGAAAAGCAAAAGTCGCCCCATGAGGAGTCCTCTTCCTAATGACCTTAGCGGTTACATCCCACCCATGTTACCAGCACCCTTGTCTGTCACTCTCTTTAACACAGTGTGAATGCAGCACAACCAACATGTCAGTGCAGACTTTGCAAAGGTGAAAAACTTTCATGAAGTGTGATAGAGTGCAAAAGAATCACTTCAGCCACCTACAAAATTGCTGACAGTTGAATATTCAGCAGAATTCACAGTTGAAGAATAAAGGATGACTCATAGGCAAGCACATCAAAAACAGAATAATTAGAGTCAACAGAGAAAGCCTTAAAATTATTGAAATCTTAAAAATAAACCTAACCTATTTTATGATCATGTTGTAAATTTCAAAGCCAAAAATAAAGCGTATTTTTAAAAGCATAATAACTAAATCAATAGCTATTTTTAATAATGAACCAGTTTTGTTTGTAACTTTCGTACATCAGATTGAGTTACAGTCAATCCCTTATGTTTTGGTCCTGTTTTCAATAGGTTCGAGTACCAGTTATCAGTAAGTGCCAAGGACTCTGTGTGTGTGTGTGCACACACGTGCTCAGGACTGAACCTAGGGTTTTTGTGCTGAACTGCATCCCAGCCTCTTTTGAGGCAGGATCTTGACAAGTTGCCCAAGCCAGGCTCAAGCTTGTGATCCTCCTGCCTCAGTCTTTGAGATTACAGCAGTTTGAGGACTTCTTTTGTCTATTTTTCATGGCTAAGAGCATCAGATTACCTACATGCAGTCAATGTTAGCACCTACTTTATTTTTGTTAATCTTCTTTTCATTTGTTTTCATTTTTAAAGCTTTCATCACACTGTTACTCATGCTTCTGTATCTGTCTCAGGACAGTTTTACCCTTCCTCTTTCTCTTTTCATTTTTATTGTTCAAGTATCCTCACTACTACTGCCTGACCTGCTTTGTTTCCATCTTTAATCTCCTTTGGAATTCAGTCATTACTGTTTTAGATTTTCCCCTTATTTTAAGCCTTTTTTTCCCCCTCTCTCAATACGTTTTTCTTTCTCCTCTAAGAAATTATTTTAGTTTTGAATTTTTGTTTCATTCTTCCTTCTCAATTGCACCTTTTAACTGTTCACTGTAGAAACTTACTGCTGGGAGCGCGTGAAGGGCAAGAACTTAATACCCTTCCTTCGTGGAGTCTGTCTGCTCTGTCCCACAGAATAGGTGTCTCTGCGGGCCTCGTCCCGGCATTCCCTGCTGCACACCTCCACGAGCTGCTGTGCCGTTTCTGTCCCCACTGCTGTGGCCACAGAGCCTTGATGTACTAGTCGGGGTATAAATTAATGAGATCTGCTTAGGGCTTTTGTTTTGTAATTCTACCATAATAAAAATCCTAAATTTATGATTTTTGACCAAAAAAAAATGGGAAAAATATTTTGAGGTCTTGGGAGAAAAAAAAATCTATATTATCTATTATCAGTGGGTCACTTCCTGCTTGCAGAAATTTAAAGAAATGTTTTACGACTTAGGTCACTTCTGTGTTGTTAATTTGTGGGTGAGAAGGATGAGTTTAATCAATGTGAACGGAAGAAATGTTACAGTCAGATCTTTTCTAAACAAAATAAAGTCTCAAATGTTAAAAACTAGACTAAACATAATACCTGCACTGTGTGAAACGTATCAGAAGATGGGTGACTACTGTAATATATTTCTCAAGATTTAATACCTCTGATTTAAAGTGTAAATGTTCATTCTCCCAAATTGATCATTCCCCTTTCATTGTCTCTCTGTGTGGGTAAGAGGTAACTCTGAATATTTATGTTTGACCCCTCTAAAGGTGGAATCTTCTTAAAGCAGTTTTAGTATACTCATGTCTGTAATTTGGTAAAAAGTTTTTTAAAAATAAGCACTTTGAAAAAATGTCTGTCTTCATATCCTCATTAGGAAACTTCTCTTTAATTTTGTAGTCAAATCAGAAAATTAATGCCCGTTGGACCACAGAGGAGCAGCTTCTAGCAGTGCAAGGTATATTACAGATAAGCAGTTAATTGTTGTTCATAATGATTTCGCTTGTCATGAAAAGTGACTGCCGTAGTTCTTCCTTCCCTTTCTCCAGAAATGGATCGAGAAAGGGCTCTTGTGTTCACCACAAAGTCCTGGTGACCAGGAGTTCTGTGTTGTGTTTGTGGGTGACACTCTGGGTCTGTGCATTTGGGTCCTGAGCTGACCGGTGCTTCCCGGTGTGGAGCATGTGGTGTGAGCAGCCCGGTGGCCCCAGCTCCGCTGTGTCGCTCATCGGTGACTCATAAAGGAAGAGCATAAAACGGGACACAGTACGGTTCTGGTTCTGATTACTCTGTATAATAGTGTTTCTCTATTTTTAAGTGTCAGGTACTGAAAATATTAACAGTATGCTTAACTTTCAGTGTATCATGCCTTAAGAGATGTATCTCTAAATGCTTAGAAACCTGACTTTATTAAAAGATACATCAGAAATGCACAAATACAATTTTAATGCATTGTTGAGCTGTATGGCAAAAGATTTTGTATTATGAGAATGTTTATGGACAAATTGGAAATATAAACTTGACTTTCTCGTGTTTGAATATCTTTAGGACAGGTTTTGTATATTTTAAGTACTGTGGACTTTTTAAGAAACTGCAGGAACAATTGTAAAGTGTGGTCTACACTTTGTTTCTTCTTGGGCAAGCCCTCTTTATTGCATACTTACACCTTTTTATCTGTGTTAACTATTGTGCGAAAGAGGGGCCCCAGTGAAGCACACAAGTAAACCTATTTAAATCTTTACATTTTCATCAGAGAATATATTTAATACAAAAATCCTTCCCAAGCAATATTCAGAGATGAGAGTAATACACTTAAAGACTAGCCAGCAGATGATTCTACAGTTTGGATTGGAGAGAGTAAGACTTCACCAGCCAACATGAGTGGAAAACGTCAAAGGATAATGTCCATAGGCTGTGCCTTCCATTTGGCCCTCTAGCTGGCAGTCTTTGCATAAAGAGAAAAACTTGGTGGTTATGTGTGGCTAGGTCCTAGGTGCTCACTGAGCATGGCCATAATTGTAGAGCCAAGCTCTGAATGAATTGGAACAAGATATAGTTCTAATGTTCAGTAATAGCTGCTTTAAAATTAGACTGTGACAATTTAAATTTTTGTTTAACAATTAGCATTTGCCTTGGCTGTTTTGTATTCATTTAGAACTATGGCTTACACCTCTAGCATAATTAGTTTGAACAGGCATTCCTTTTATTCATGTAAAGCTTTTATTCATGTAAAGTTTCTTCCATTTTGGTATACTGCCTGGTAAGAATTGAACTCTGCCTTCTAGTGTTAGGTTGCATAAAGGTTAGTACATTAATTCTGTGCTGTAATACAAAATCTGTCCCAGTAGCAAGATTCTCTGAAGAGGCTTTCCTAGAAAGATGTGGGCCAGTGTTTCCCTACACAACACTCATGGTTCCATACTATTGTATAGCACTGTTGTCTGTATTAGGGTCCACTGAATCTTACGGCTGGGCTGGACATGCAAACTGTATTCAGGGTAAGGGAAGTGCTAAGGTTTAAATAAAGCCTGAGCTGTACACGGGGACATAGTTTATCACTGCTAGAGTACTGGTGCATGCACTCCAACATTTAGTCTCTATCGAGACATATTTGGTACTGTATTCACATTTTAAAAATAATCTTTAAATCAGTTAATACAGCAGTTTGTATGGCACTCTGCAGCTCTTAGGATGCTGGTGGACATTTTAATATGTTAATGTTTAATTTTTACTTATTTTGACTTTGAAATTTTTGTTCTCATTTGGGGCTTTTTGTTTTTTCTTTTCTTTTTTTTTTTTTGGTACCGGGGATTGAACTTGGGTCCTTGCGCTTGCAAGGCAGGTCACCGAACAGCTGAGCTAAATCCCCAGCCCTGTTTTTTCTTATATAAAATTAATATAAAGCAATTTGTGTCCAAAATAGTTATTTTAGTATGGGGAAAAAATGAGAACCAAGACCTGTCAGGTAAAGATACAAGATCCCAATGATGAATGTAACTGTACTATATACCTAAAATGTACCAATAAGCTCAATGAGGAAAGAAAAAGAAAAAAATGAGGAAAATTAACAAAAAATAAATAAAATAGTCATTTCAGAATGGATTAAAAAGCCCCATTTGGTCTTACGTGCCTGCACATTTACACAATGCCCAGAAATGTGTCTTATAAAGGGTGTAATCATATAGTAATGTCACCTGCACCTGAGTCTCAGTGGCTAAAATATATCAAGTATTAAAAGTGTCTTTTTTAATATGTATAGTTTGCTGTTAGAAACTATTTAAGAGCTTTTTTCTTTAATTTTTATAATGTCTTTGTGTGGTATTATTCTGATGGCCGTTACAGTTTTACAAAGTAATAATTTATGTTGTTGTTTTTTTTTTGTTTTGTTTTGTGTTTTTTTTTGCTTTTGTTTTTATACCGGGGATCAAACTCAGGACCTTGCTCTTGTGAGGCAGGTGGCAGCATCACTGAGCTAAATCCCTGGCCCAATAATTTATGTTTTTTATATTAACATGCTTTACTTTGCATAGCATTTTATATTCAAGATGGTTTTTACATATATCTGATTTGACACTCCTTTGTAAAATGCTTTATATTATCTTGCTCACTGTAGACTCACAGTGACTTGGAAAAAAAATGTTAGTGCTACTGTTAAAATTTATGATTCTATTATATAAACTTTTTTGTTGTAACTTTTTAAAACCAGACATCAGGATCATTTTCTTTCCTAGTTCATAAATGTGTATTTCCCACCTTATTTCCCATCCAATCTGTTCACATTATTGTTAATTAAATATTAAATGCTAACCCTTGATTAAATGCTCTCCCTTGATGGAAAGGAGATGTCAGGGAGTCATGTTCACATCCAACAGGGCCATGTTTATACTTTTGGAATCTATCACTTTTTATGTTAATTCTAGTTTACCTATAATTTCAGTAACTTTCTTCAAGTCCCCAAGTGTAGGGTATTATTAATGCTACTAATTAAGTCCACTTAAAATATTTGCCAAGAATTGTCCTTCTATAATATCTGTCATCTGTTCTAGCCTTAAGTATCTAAATTTTCTATTTTAATAAATCGTTTAGCAGCGAGGCCAGTCGTTGATAGTCTCATATTTGTGTTAATAATAGAATATCCGGTTTCTAGCTTGTGCCATGTATATAAGTATTCTAATTTATAATGTTTTTAGAAATTATCCTAAAATTAAACTTAATATTCATATAATTCTTTTGAGCAAAATTTAAAAAGATTCTAGGCTTGTCTTTTTATGTAAAATGGAGCAGTAATTACCTATTTTCAGAAAATAACCCATTTGAATGATATGCTAAACATCCTTCAAAGTGTGGTGTCCAATATATGCCATTTTTATTTTAGGCCACTGCCTAAATATATTTATTCATTTTTTAAATACATTTATTTCTTAGTCTTGGTGCTATTAAAAAAATACTTCCCAATTAAAATCTTAGTACTCTTTTAGAATGTTTTTCCAGTTTTATCAGGATGTCAATTTTAATTTTTAGTTCTTTCTGCATATTACCTGCCATCTTATGTAAGATAGAGCTATGTTCAAGCTGTCGCACTTAAATTAAAAGCTAGCTGGTAGTTCATATATTTAATCCTTTTTAAGAGAAATGAAGTTGCAAGTCTGGAAATTGCCTTCTTTTTGCTTGTCTCATACTTTAAAAGGCTAGAATGGCCCATAAAATAGGAGGATACATTGATTTGACAGGTGATAAAAATGTAAGGATAGAAAATTATGCACAAGTGAGCGAAGGAAGTACAAACAGGAGATTCATGCTTTTGCACCTGAAAGGCAGCAGATGCCATCGGGATGGATCTCCCCAAGGAACAGTCAGCCCCTAATGTGCTTACTTCGAATAATTGATGAGTCAAAATTTTTGGCATTTTTGTAATGGAATTCAGTGTATGACAAGAAGAAAGGGAATATGATATCCAGAAGAGAAACATAGACATCGGAAAGAAAATACATGATTTCAAGTTTTAGCTCTCATTTATGTGCACCAATCATTATTCTGTTGTTAATTTTTTTCTCCTTTTATGTTGAATTTATGAATAGATTCACAAGCGGTAGAAATAAATATATATTCGCGAATGATTTCTTATGTCTTGATGATTGAAAAGAAGCACATCTTTAGAGATTCTTCAACTTCCTATGCTCCTATTATTTCAAAAACAGAGTTTTAATGTTTATGTTTTCCAATTAAGTACTTGTTGACTTCAAGAATTTTACTTGTAAGAAGCCGAAAAACATGTAATTCAGCACTCTGGGAGGCTGAGGGCTGGAAGATCTTAAACTCAAGCCCCATGTGATGAGTTTAGCAACTTAAATTGACCTGTTTCTAAATTTCAAAAACAAATTTTTTTTAATGAAAAAGCACTGGGGGTGTAACTCAGCACAGGGGCCCTGGATTCAATCCCTAGTAATAATATTTTTTTAAAAAGGAACAGGAAAAATATCTCCTGAAATTTTCTAACCTACATAGAAGGCCATTGCCACCATTAATGCTTTGCTTCTCTGATTTATTTTTGTCTGTCCAAAAATCAGATTTTAAAAATATATTTTTAAATATAAGAAAAGCAATTATGCATGCTGTCCCTTCTAGCTAAAATAGTAAGTTCTGATTTCATGTCTCGAATTGAGAAACACCTTATATATAAAGTCTTCTGAAGTTACCATTTTGCAAACCAAAACTCAATACAAATGGACAAACTTGACTAATTCAAAATTTGGAATAATACAGACAAAGACTATGACAAAGTCAGTACTATTAATAAAAATATCTTCCTTAGCAAACTAAAAGTATGAGTAAGAAATGTAAAAAGGACATGAATGGGTTTTTTATGTTGCGTAATATAGACTACTGTTTGGAAAATGGGCAGAATATCCCAATAAATTATATTTTTATGTTACTTTTCCAAACAAAACTTCTAAAATATATTTTAAATATCACCAGATATCTCCCAGCACAGCAAGCCAAACTGTTTCATTATAACTTTCAAGTAAAGTTTAGAAATGTGATCAAAATAGGTTTTTTCCTCCTTTGGAAATTTACAGTTTGCCTCGTCCAGGGTTTCCCAAACATTACTTCCCTGATCCTGGAAAACTGATCTGTCCTAGCGGCAAACCTTGAGCAAGTATAGAGATTGATGTCACTACCTTGCTGAGAAAGAACTCTGACTTACTTGTTTATTATAAATTATGGAAACAGAATGGATCCTTCCCCTTCCCCTGTACAGATTGGGATCGGAAGCTCTAGTGCCATAACTTGCTACACTTGCTGAGCTAAGGCTCCTCATCACTGCCCTGCTAGGTTGTCCTAGAAGCCTCGTTGGGATTGTTCTGAAGGAGCAGCAGCAGTCAGTTGTTATTTCAGAGTTCACCTAGTTGCTGATGACAGAGTTTAACAATTCCATCGTGCAGCCAAAACATACCATTGAGCAATGTCATTATAGTGTGAAGACGACAGACAAGTCCACTCTGTATGCCTCTTAGGTTGGGGAAGAAAGCCAGAGTTAGCCTGTGGGAGGAAAGTCGTATTTCCTGAGCGCTTACTGCAAACTTGGCATGGGAGTATTGCTGGTACTCATGTGCATTAAACAGGACAGTACTTCAAAACTTTGTCCACATCCTGGAACACAGAGAACATTCTGAAACTTGGTAGAAAAATAAAAAGCTCATTGGGGCAGACAGGTGAGGCTGCCTCGTTCTGAGGAGCTGTCAAGGAGCTCTACCTATTATACACCCTGTCCAGGCATCCTGCAGGCTGAGAGGATTGGGATCTGGGCACGCAGGTTCTCAGGACAGACAGGGGTCCTCAGCCGAACCATGGAGGTCTGCGCCTTGAGGCTGTAGACCAGCTCACCTGAGTTAATAATCAAGGAAGAAGTTCTTGACATCCGGAGCCTTTAAAAAATCTAAAGCTCTTATGGGAAGTAGTTTTGAATTCATATAGTCTGTAATTTTGCAAATGTGATCGTATTGGTGACAAAGTAAAATCCACTGAGGAAGAAAGAATTGTGAAAAGTCAGAAGGAATAGACTCAGAAGAAGGGACAGTTACATAATGGAATCAGTCTTGGAGACGTTTTCAGAATTTATTATGCAACTTGGGGAATATATTATATTGCAAAACATACAGGTATTGTGGATTATATCTTCAGAGTGAGAGGGTCTCAGTGTTCTTGTTAGGAATAGGAAAGATCTGAACTAGTCTTTTGTAAATAAGTTTTCATTTTTAAACTTACATACTCAGGTTTGGCCATTTCTAGAATGTAAATTAAGTATCCCTTATGAAAATTACTACACTAATAAACACCGATTTGTAATCAGTAGTTAATCTTCAGTGCAGGTATCTCAAATTTATAAGTGGCACAGGAACTCAGTATTTTAGAAGCCACTGTTTTTTAAAGTGTAAGTAGTGGGGAAGTATTGAGTATGTCTTAACAGTAACTATTACTGAGGTAACTTGGGATTTTTATTACTAAATAAGCCCTTAGTGGAACCTATTAAAATTTATCTTTACTGTGAACTTCAAACTATAAATCAGCCCATGGATTTAAAGAGAATATGAATTCATTTATGTTGCTAAAACATAAACAATGTGTGTCATTTTTTTACTTGGCTTCCATATATCTGTCTTTTCCTTTGAGACCAGAGCACATGAGCATAGGTTACCTGCTAAATTCTCCATAATCATGTCAGACCTCCCATCCACAACGCTCTGAGGTAGAAGAACTCCCTGTACATCTGCCCTAGCTACTTACATGTAGCCAGAGATGCCTGCTCCCAGTTCTCAAAGCAAAATAAGAACATAAAAGTAAAATCATGCCTCATTATGTTGCTGCTTTCAATTTATTGGGTATTTCGTATTCATTGGTATCAGTAAGAATATAGCATTTCTTCTGGGGTGTTACGCTCATTAGTTTATCATCTGTAATGATAGACACATTTTGTGTAAACCCCCTGTTTCAGACTTAGTTCTCATCTCTAATGAATTATTGTTTCTAGTGTTTTAAAAAGCAATCACAAAGTATAAAATGATCATTTTAACAAGTTTTATATTTTGAGCTAAGCACAAAATATAATTCCTTTAAAATCAAAGTACTCATTTTAAGCTCCGTGGCATAATTGGTCATCTCAGCTTCTTAAGTCACTTGCTGCCCTTCACTGAAATGAAGCTTCCTTGGTGAAAAGCTAAGTCCCGAGGCCCCAGTGCACACACAGCCCTTAAGTGTGAGCGGTGGAGGTGCACACAGTGTCCCTCCTCGGGCAGCGCTGACCTCACCCCTCTCTAGGCTGTGCCGGTTGGGAAACCACTCCATGAGTTACAGTGCAGCTGTCTTGACAAAAATGCCCTCTTTTAATCTTATCAGATTGCAATTTTAATTTATTTCTGTTTGTTGGTACCCTGGTGGGATATAGGCAGATGGTCCCATTGAGGTTAGTATTAAGAGCAGAGTTACAGTGTCTGTCTTAATATGAAGGGGAAACTCTGCAGCTACTCACTCAGTCCATTGAGGGGATAAAAGATGGCTCATTCCCATCCAGTTTTGTTTACAAACGGTGTTGCTCAAATTTAGGTGACTGGCTACTAGGGAAATAAATGAATGTGGAATTGAGGATGGAACACAGAATTCAATGCTTTACAATAAATGGACTGTATTTGAGAGTTCAAGAGAGGATTGGAGAAAATAACTGAGTATGTAAAAGAAATGGTAAGTTTCTGATTGTTGGGTTGAAGCCAAGTGGCTGGCTCAGTGAAATGGCGTAATTGATCGTTTTCGTCTGTGACTCTGATAACTTTAGCCTCTATCTCAAAACAGAACTGAGAAGTTTTTCAGAAAGGGTTTTCATTGCTGGTATCTTTTGTGTGTGCATGATGTTTAGTACACACAGCTCTCCTTATTGATCCTTCACAGGTGTATTATTTACTTTGCCTTCCAGGTGTCCGCAAATATGGTAAAGATTTTCAAGCTATTGCAGATGTAATTGGCAACAAGACTGTTGGCCAAGTGAAGAACTTCTTTGTAAACTACAGGCGTCGGTTTAACTTAGAGGAGGTATTGCAGGAGTGGGAAGCAGAACAAGGAACCCAGGCTTCTAATGGTGCCGCTTCTACTTTAGGGGAGGAGACAAAGAGTGCTTCTGATGTGCCCTCAGGGAAGCGCACTGATGACGAAGAGGAGGTGTGTTTGTGTCTGGAATCTGAGCTAATACAGTCTTGCGAGTGGAGGAGTCACCGTTCTGTGTGGTGTTCTGTAAGGCTCAGCTGCCAAGGACTAGCTAAATGAGCGTGAAAGGCTGCCAGTACTTACCAGTAACTCGTGACTCCCGAGTCATGACGACTCGCTCGTTTCTGACCCTATCGGAGCGGAGAGTGTATTGTTCTTGCATAGCCGTATTTTTATTTCCAGTGTTAAGCCGTTTACTAATAAAGGTGCCTGTTTGGTAGCCTCGTTGCTTTTTCTGTTTTTTGTTTTTTGTTTCGTTTAAAATAAAAGAAGCTTGTGCTTCCGATAAACACTGGTGTTACGTTTTTGTTTTGTTTCGTTTTGTTTTTCCTGTGACAGCCCAGACTGTATTGTGTCTAGCTCATTAGGACTGGCCGCCTCACGCGTGCGTTTTTGTTTCCTCGCCTCTAGGCACAGACCCCACAGACCCCTCGGACCCTGGGTCCATCACCGCCTGCCCCACCGTCCACTCCAACACCAGCGGCCCCCGTGGCCACCCTGCACCAGCCTCCG